TCATGTAACATTTGTCCTACACCTCTTGGCTGTCTCATGTAATGTTGTGCATGATTTACTAAGTCCAACTGCAATAGTTTACTGAGCGAGCTCACGTAGAGAGCTATGAGCTTACACATAGGAGTGAAGCAGGTCTATAATTGTTTTAATGCAGCCAACAGAACAATGCAGGATTTGCTTCTGCTTCTTTTAAGTGTATGTTAAGTATAATAGTTGGGGCCAGATGCTAATAATGGGGTTAAGAGGACAGGAGTTTAGAAGAAAAAAGAATGGATTTTTTTTTTTACGTAGCACCCCTGGATAAAAATTTGAAGGCAATCCACAAATGTAACATTTTCTAACAAAATGTTTAAAAATATTAAGATAAAAAGTGTATATTTAAAAAGAAAGAGGAAAACAGGATATATTGAGGGAGAACATTCACTCTGAATAGCGGAGGTAGACATTTTTTCTGCTTTTGACGTGTAGCAGTGGATGACAATAGCTCGAGCTGTTAAGCAAACCCTCGTTTGTTTACAACACACCAAATAACCTGCTAATGATTCCCACTCAGCTACGCAGCTGCATTTGGCCACCAACATCTTTCAAATGCTCTTCACATCAAAAGAGTAGAACTTGTATTGAACTTACTTTTCAACATATTCTACAGAACTTTGAACGTGGCTCTGAACAGAACCTTGAACACCAAACAGAACTTTGAACGTAAAACTTTAACAAGTCCTACTCTCAGCTGGTGTGGCGGATCTGTTTTTTTCATTGATTTGTAGCAGTGAGCCCTCACAGTTAACTTGTTAGCCTAATTTTTGCCCGAGACTTCAATCAGGAATACGAACACGTTCACATTAACATGATTAAACGGAACCAGGGAGGTTTGGTTCGAGAAAAAATAAATAAATAAAATGAAAACAGTCACTTTAGCAGCGGTTAGCAGGCGGCTACCTACGGCTAGCTAGGACTTTGATAGAATTAGCATCTGCAATTATTTGGACTTACCCTCAAAATTACAGACGTAGGATGAAACGTAGCACTTGAAACCCTTTTCAAGTTTACTCTGCGACGTAGTACTTGATGCTGACAATACGACGCACGTCGTTAACAGTTAACTTCGGCAACTCCAAGAGGCACCTCGTGAACTTCACAGACTCAGCCATAACAACACCATTTTAGCACAGACCGGAAAGGGCGTACCATCCTCACGTGAAACAAGGAAGTGATGTATGCACAGAGCCTATTGGAAACCTCGTGGCTGTCCCTGACTGGCTGCCACAGCCACGATTTTGAGCCTGCTGTCTCTCAAAATTTCCCGCAGTGCTTTCCTCCCCCCGCCAGGCTAAGCTCACTTTTTTATGTAAAATTGATTGTTTTGCATGTCTGACTTTAACCGCATCTAATACTGTATTACGGTGTGAGCGCAACAGCGACAACTTAAGATCGATGTGTGAGCAGCGTGAGAGGTCAGGTGTTTTCGATCTGAACCCTAAAACCTCCAGCCGGCTATGCTGCACTATTGACGTGTTAGCGCGTGGCGCAAACAACTTGGTGACGTGACATGTCTTGGAGAAAGCGTAAAAACACGTTGGACACTTCTTCTGAAGCTGAAAAAATAAAACTTCTTCTGAAGCGGAGCACGACTTTGCCTCGTTCACCCTCTGCCGAGACAGTGTTGGTACAGGATCTGCTCGGGTGCAAGATCAGCTCCTGGTCCTTTGACTGCCGATGACGTCAAAGTAGTTGATTGGCTGAACATGAACCTTACAGAAGTTACATAATCACATTACGTTGGTCCAGGCAGATCTTTCTGTTGGAAAGATGGACAACTTTTACAAAGAAATCCATCATTACTGCTTTGAAAATACACTTTTAGCATAGAGCTGCATGTATATTAGGGCTGAACGATTAACTGCATGTGCAATTAAATTGCGATGTGACAAAATGAGATTTTCTAATCGCAAAGGCTGCAATTTGGCAGCGAGTGGTTAGCGCAATGCTAATACACATGGAAAAACCCATAGGAATGCTAATGCTAATATCACCGATTACATTCTTACAAATTATGAATTAGAAACGTGCCAAATGATTACATTTGGAGTCTAATAGAAAGTAAAACTACCATCAATCAAATAAGTACAGACAGGTATTTTAGTAAAGCCAGAAAACTTTTGGCTAGCAGCTATGAGCATAACTGAACTACACATGGACAAGAAATCAAAAACTCTCAACAAAAAATACTTCAACAAACGGGACACACTTCTTTCCTGCAAATACAATTTCACAGGTGTTGTTAATACCTATGATCCTTCAAGGGATGTGCTCAAAGAGGAATTCAACATTATGAATAAGATATAGTGTTTTATTTTACAAATACCATTATAAACTAGAGCTGAAACGATTCCTCGAGTACCTCGAATAATTCGAGTACAAAAAATCCTCGAGTCAAATTCTCTGCCTCGAGGATTCGTTTAATTCATATTTAATTAATTCATGGCTTTGCAATCGCCCGTGGTCATGTTTCACCCGGACCGAAATAAGTGACGCACGTGCCCTCTGGACTAGCGAATATAACTTAACTTTCTCTTAAGCCATGGCGGACAACGTTGACCCCGGTGGAGGGCGAAAAAGACAGAAAATGTCAAAGTTGTGGGACCATTTTTCACGTCGTAAGGTCAAAACGTAGTCCAGTATAAATACAGTAAAATGGATTTAGCCTAGCACAACACCACATCCTCCATGCTGCAGCACCTGTAAATGTCACTTCTGCAAGCGGACTCAGAGCCTCTACAAGATAGTGCATTTTAGCCTGTATTTCTATATATTCTGCAGACACTGTGACTTTTTCGTTTGTAGCACTCAGTTTCAGCTCACACCGTACGTTTGGTAGCAACACGTCGGACTTAAAATGTGCTAAAAAATAGCAGTTTTTAACACGTCGGATTTTTTATTGTGTTATTGATGTCTGTTGTCCCTCGGGGTTTCTGCAGCAGGACACGGGTATTTATGAGAGTGGCGGAGGAAAACGAAAGAAAGTAAATACATGTTGTGTGATCAGTATAATTTGACAAAACCACAGCAAACATGCTTTTGGCAATCCTTGTTAGTGTGAGAAAAAAGTGTAGAAATTAAAACGGACGTGTGTTAATAGGGAAACAGGGGCGAGCTGTTTGCGCCGTGAGCGGTTCTGGTTCTGTTTGGGCCGCAGCCGCTCGCAGCGTTATCCTCCTAGTTTTTGTCTGGCTTGCTGGCTAGCAGATTCTCGCATGAGGGGAAAATCGGCTCAGGTTGTTTACTTATTTTTTGCACAGGCATTTGTTTACTGTGAAGTAAAGTTGAAGTGCTGAAGTAATGCAAACTAATTTTGAATAAAACTTGAAGAATAACTGGCAATTGCTTGCTCATTTTAAGAGGTCTTTCATAATTATAACATGCTATTTGATATCAAATCACTTTTATTGTCACGTCACATGTGCAGGTACACTGGTACAGTACATGCGAGTGAAATTCTTGTGTGCGAGCTTCACAGCAACAGAGTTGTGCAAAAATACAGTAATGTAAAAACAAGTAAAATATAAAATGGCTAATCTAAGTATACAAATGAATAAAGTAAACAATAAGATAAGAGATATAAAATGTACAGAGGTTGGTATCTGCAAAACAGTGGCATTAATGTACAGTATGGAGCGTGTAATGTTGGAACTTGGTGGAGCTCGCGACGAGGCAGCCATACTCGGCGCCATCTTGGCTCATCAATATATGATATAAAGGTTTACAAACACAAAAGGGTAATTTATTAGAGTACTCGATTAATCGAAAAAAAGATTCGATAGAGTACTCGATTACAAAAATATTCGATAGCTGCAGCCCTATTATAAACACAAACTTACGTCGTAAGAAACATTATTTTAATAATGAAACTGCTAAATTCTTTCCAACAGTATAGATGTGTAGTGTATTTTGTCCGAATGGGTTTGCCGTACTTGGCGGGCCGCCACGGCTATAGGGAAACCCTGTACTTTATTATAATGTTCACTGTAATGCATCTTGATGTTCTTAACAAATAAATCAAATCAAAGATATTGGCCAATAATGCCAAATATGTATATTTGTGTGTCAGTCATTTTTATACTGACTTAAAAATACTTCGTTAAGTCTACTAAGCAGGGGTGTAGAAGGTTTTTAATAGGGCCAGCCCAGTAATGATCTTGGACCAAAATAAAGGTCTTTAATACTAGTTATTTCAATGCAGCAGGTGCTGGATTGGTGCAGTTCAAAGTGGAGTGCGTCTAATAAAACAATAACATAAAGGTGAGACATGAAGAATTTCAGTAACAACAGTGTTGTTACAACACATTTTCGATTCATCATCCAGCCCTACTTTGACCCTAATGTTGGTTGCTGTCGTTACTCATCAGAAATAAGGAGGCGCTGGTTGATGAATGTGTGCCATTTCTTAAACATATGGGTCAGACTGTACTGTGTTTCCTTGTATTTTGTTCTTGTATCTTTTGTAGATTAATCTGTATATTTCATCTTTGTAATGTGCTCTTGTGCATTTTGTTCATCCATTCTATGGTTCTTACTTGAAGTTTTTATATAAATTTTAATCTGGTATTTCTAGGTGATTATTTTAGGTACTGTTTCTGATTTGTCTGTACTGGACCTTTGTGACAGATGTGTTAACATGTTTATCCATTTTTCTGATTGTTGAAGGTTACAATAATAGTCTACAGCCTATATTTACCTGTACTTTTGTCACAATTCTTGCTTGTTTTAAGTGTGCATGCTGCAGTAAAAAGTTAATTTCCCCACTGTGGGGTTAATAAAGTCTATTCTAAATGACTGAATTGTGACGGATTTCTGCTTTTAGGAGCTGATGTTGATATTTTATTGTTTGTACATCACTGAAGTCTGTCTGCAGACACAATCTGTAGTGAGATAGTGGATTATTGATGTGGGGGCACGCACGCACGCACACGCACACGCACACACACACACCAGTTGTGTACCTGTATCCATGTTGTCCAGATCCAGATGATGACTCAGTCCCAGATCCTGAAGTGGTAGCAGGTCTGCTTTAGCCGTGTTTAGCTAACAGCTGCAAAAGAAACAAAGCAGCTGATAACGTTCCGAGGCTTTTCCGTCGGAGAGTGTGAGCAGGATGGATCAGAGAGCGAGCAGCGATCCTGCAGTCTGATAGAGGGAACCTCTTCAATCTGATGAAAGCAGCAAAACGAGCGCGTTTCTCAGAGAGGCCAAAGGAACAGCAGCAGATCCAGAGGGCAGGAAGTCTAGAGAAAAGCTTTTCTGCCCCACAACCTGATTCTGGAGCTCCGATTGTCACGAAAACCGCAGAATATCTTCTCTGGTGGTTCTGGAAAGAACTCCACCAAGTTGTTGAGGAGGAGAAGAAAGTTTCCACAGCCTGGTGATGGTTTACAGCGCTGCTGCTTCAGTCTGCTAGCTTCTGGAGAAGCGTCTTCTTTCTGCTTTGTGGGTGGTTCGTGATCATTACCGCCACCTACTGGTCTGGAGGTGGACGTGGGTCAGAACCTTCTGTCACAAGAGTGAATGGGCGGCAAACACACACACACACGCACACACACACACACACACACACACACACACTTCCTGATCAAACACATCTCTGTTTATTATGAAACAATTTAAGTTAATTAAACTCCTCTTTTACAGGCTTGAGACATGAAGTTACAAAGCACCTTATAACTTCTATTCTCATAAACGAGCTGTGTTTATGATCTTGTGTGTTTTTCTGATGCAACAACTCAACAATGTGTTAGAACCACTCTGTTTCATTCAGAACACACAGAGTATGAGGGTGAGTTGGTTTTGTTCAGCTAAAAGATAAAAATGTCTTTTTAAAACAAAAAAGCAGCTCAGTGATTATCTACAAACAAGTGACAACATAACGATCAAAATATAGAATTAATTAAACAATACAAGAAATCTCTTCTGGTGCTCTGGTTCTGCAGGTCTCTGGACGAGTGAGTGGTGTAAACACACATACTAAATGAGCATGCACGCACGCACGCACGCACACACACACACACACACACACACACACACACACACACACACACACACACACATGTGTCACCCAGTATTCCCAGTATTCCCAGTCTGTGGGGCTGTCATGAGTTTGTGATTAAATGAAATAAAAGGTCTGCATCTGATAGAGTGCCTTCAAGAGGCCTAGAAACCCCCAAGGTGCTTTACAATTATGGTCATTAATCCATTTACACACTGGTGATGATGAGCTACAGTGCAGCCACAGCTGACCCTGACAGTCAGTCTGCTTTGCTTTGCAGAACGAGTAAAGGATGACCAGTTGTGGTTTAGAAACCCAATTCTTCACTTTACTTTAATTAAAAACATTAACTCATGGAACAGGCTTGGACAAAAATGATGGTACCCCTCACTTAATATATTGTTGCAAAACCTTTTGAGGCAAAACGATTCCTGTAACTGTCAATAAGATATCTGCACCTCTCAGCAGGTATTTGGCCCACTCCACATGACCAAACAGCTACATTTGAGGAATTTTGGCCTCTGCAGACTTCCATACCTGTAACTTGGTTATGCAGAGGCGGGGTTTGGCTTGTCTCTGCACGTAAACAGGGAAAACACACTGGTGAAGCGCTAAATCAAACATTAGGAGAGGGACGAGCGAGTCACCACGGTAGCAAACCCAGCTTGCTGAGTGAGAGTGGCGAGCGAGCCTGTTGCTGACGGATGAATAGAAAACAAAACGCATTCGGGGCTTAAGTCCTGTCAACATTGCATGGCTGGATTATACAGTTCTTTTCCATATTCAATAGTATGTTTTGATGGGAAAAATTGTGAATTTTTTTAAACAACTTCCACATCATGTGACTTAAACTGTATTTGACATTTTATTTTCTGTATTGTGAAAAGGTTACAGAGGTGTTGTGGTACATTATCTTTAGGCATCACATTCTAATAATTTTTTTCCAACACATTTGCAGTGGTCTCTAGAATGCCTCATCTACCTAGGATGCCATGTGACTCGCTCTCTGTGGGTGAAAAGGCTCTGGTGCTCCTGTTTCAGGAAGCATAAGTTAGTTGGAGGAGAGGGGAGCAGAAAAGGACAGGATTTGGAGTCGAACCTTTCAAAACCAAAACCCTCTTGAATTGGAAAACAGATTGGAATAAATACATGAAAATGTTAAAAACAATAAAATAAAATAAAAAAAAGTAGAATAATTTTAGACATTTGTATGGATAGAATGTCACTTAGGGTTTTCAAACTTAAATATTTGACTCAAGAAGCTATTTTGTAGCTGTTTGAAATGGGTTGTGACACCGGTCACCACGGGTCCTTAAGGTGCTTTCCGGAGTTTTCCCCTTTCAGAAATTATGTATGATTTTTCAGAAATCCGTAAAAGTGATTATCTTATCATGTACTGTGATATAATGTAAGCGATACGTCTTTTTTTTTTTTTTTTTGCTAAGCACGCCCCCTGCCCCGCAGAGCTCCATACAATAGGAAACTGAGCGCCGACCAGAACTAACCAATAGCGTTGGACTACTGCTAGATGCTTCTAATTTAAGGAATACCTCAGCTGATGCAGAGCTGATAAACTTTTAACGGACAAGAAAGTCTCTAAAATATAAATATATGAGAACACAACATGACATGAGAATAATACTCGTAAAACAACGTGTTTTAGCTGTTTGTCGGCTACAGAAGCACATTTATAAACAGAAACGTGAAGTCGCCATCTTAAACAGAGCAAAAGATTTTTTGTGTGATATGCTTGTCAGCCACTAGATGGTGCCATCGGATAAGAGAAATACTCCGGAAAGAAGTTTTAAGGGCCAACTCTGGATTATTTCCTGATATTCGGACATCTCGCCTCTGATTGGCTGGTCAGGAATTTTACTGTTGACTGCCCCCTGAAAAAATGAAACGGCATTTCCGCTCATGGGGGTGAGGTTCGGTTTGACAGCCTTTTCCAGTATTTTCCCCCCACTAACCCAGTGGGGAAAGATTGAGTAGAATGTTCAAGATCACCACCATTGTTGTGCTGCGTTGTGTTTTGTGTGGGATACAAATTACACCTTTTTGTCTCAAGTAAAAATAGCTGCTCCTCCTCTCCACCTGCATTTTGAAAAGCAGGGTTACAGCTTGGAGGCCAAAATATGTGGCTCGCTGGCCAGTGCTTAATTTGAGCCGGATCTGGCCGGAAGAAGATCCGGGAACTATCTTATTTTGAAAAGGACCGTTCCGGCAACTGTCTGCTAGGATCCGGCAACTCACACAACAAACTTGTGCTATACGCAGGATTCGAATTATGGGTGAGCTAGGGAGTTCCTGCAAGCCCTCAACACACCCAGGGTGAGTCCAAAATGATCTTGGTTCTACTTATATTACATTACCTATGTGGGCTCTCCGGGGACTAGCTTGAGCTGAGAGGCGCAGAGCTCTGATCGTTGATGCGCTCCAGACAGATGCGTCCTGAGCACGGCCACAGTAACATTATGAATGTGTTGCCACCTGAAAAACACTCTTAACACATGACCGTTTATGTCGGCTCGTATCCTTTAATGATTTCTGTCTTTTATTTGTGCCTGATGTGTTTCGCTGCTGCTGAGCGAATCACCTGTTTCGTCCTCCGGTGAATTCACCGCACCGGTATATTCAGCGCGCACTCCGCTATATTTGCCGTCAGTAGATTTTTTTGAACTGCAGTTCAAAGGTAACTCATGAGGTGAAAATATATGAAGCCAGGTAGCAGTTTTTCTTTAGGATTGAGAGTTCCTGCTGCTCTAAACATTAAAATAATTATTTCATTTTCTGTTCTTCACTTCTGATTACCTTCAGTGGTGTCTGTTTGTTGCAACCACCAGGTACAAAAACTAACTTGTTTTTATTTGACTATTTTTCTGTCCTGCCTGTTTATTATCTTCCTGCATCTCCTCTCAATCCTAAAGAGAAACTGCTACCTGGGTTCATATATATTCACCTTATGAGTTACCTTTGAACTGCAGTTCTAAAAGATCTACCGACCGCAACAACAGCGGAGTGCTCGCCGGCCACATCAGTTAGGTGCGTCACCGAGGACAAAACAGGTGATGCGCCCCGCTCCACAGCAGCGAAACGCATCAGGCACAAATAAAAGAATAAAAGACAGAAAACATAAAAGGAAATGAGCCGAAATGAACGATCGCGTGTTAAATTGGTTTTTGAGGTGGCGACACCTGATTTGATAATGTTACTGTGGTCGTGCTCAGGACGCAGATGTCTGGAGCGCGTCAACAATCAGAGCTTTGCATGCGCAAGCTGGTTAAGGTTAGGATGGGGGTGAGGGGAATGTTAAATTGCAAGAGGGTAAACGTCACAATTTGGTTAAATGTCCGTTTTACGGCGGATGTCAGTACCAACGCTCTGGCACAGCACATTGCCTCCCGAAGCGCAGGAGCTTGTCACCTGCTGACAGCAGGCTGCTGTCTTTTCCGTGGACTGCATCTTGCCGGTCATTATCACGAGACAGCGACTAGTCAATGACAGGCATAAAAAGTCACTATAGAGCGGTGAAGTCGATTAGTGACTAGTTCATACAACCCCTATTGCTCCCCAGAGTGTTCTGCAGCATAATCAGCATGTTCTCTTTGAACTTGATATAAAATTTTCGCCTCCTCTTCGTCTCCGCACGGTTAAAGTTACCCTCGCGGTCTATCACTGGCAAATCAAAAGTGAGACGGATGACACAACCGCCCCCCGTACTTGCTTGTTACCACATTCCACCCGGCCACAATAAAAAACTGGCCATTATTCATCTCCGCCGACTCCGGCACCGGCCAAAATATGATACCCGGCAGTTAATTATATACAGGCTAATATTAGAGGATTTACGGTATTTCGTGATAGCAACGCCAACAAAAACAAAGTGTAAACCGAGTGTAAATTCACCGGAGAGCGATGTGTTTCCATGATCACGTCTGGTTTTAGAGTATTATAGTATCGCTCCCGTGAATCGGGAAACAATTTTTGACGGGGGTAACTACTTTGGCACAACACCGGCTTGTGGAGCTCTCGGAGACCTCTGTGTTCCACCCGGTTTTACCCAGCGGTCAGCCCGGCGTATCTTGACTCAGAAGCTCTGGTGTTGTGCACAGTTAACTCCAGTTGTAGCTAGGTAGCTTTCTCCGTTAGCTTAGCTCCCACCTCCGCGTTAGCTTTGGGTTAGCTTCAGGTTAGCTTGTAGCTAGTTCGACCGGTGTCGGTACAAGATCTGCTCGGGTGCAAAATCGGCTCGGGGTCCTTCGACTGCCGATGACGTCAAAGTACGGCAAACCCACTCGGACAAAATACACTACACATCTATACTGTTGGAAAGAATTGAGCAGTTTCGTTATTAAAATAATGTTTCTTAAGATGTAAGTTTGTGTTTATAATTGTATTTGTAAAATAAAACACTTTGTTGTATTCATAATGTTGAACTCCTCTTTGAGCACATCCCTTGAAGGATCATAGG